TTTACGGCTATTGTAGACGGTCCTTAACGGTTCTTACACATCACTTTGTATGGAGTGTTTTTAAAAGCATCCAATGTCTAAGGGCTAAGAAAGTACTCACCACATAGACCGGCATTCATAGTTAGATCTTATATTTAAGATTGTCTTAAGTTTATCTTTAGATGCTGTACGACTCGTTTTATTGGCTACGAAGTATCTAAAGATGAACTTATATAAGACGATCTTATATATAAGATCTGACTGTGGCTGCGGTCCACTTGACGCTACAAATGGTTTGAAGCGTTCTTCTCTTTCTTTCTTCATTGAAAGAAAGGAGAAGAGGAATGCTTTGAAGCATTTGTAGTGTCAAGTGGACCGCAGCCTAGAAATACCGGCCATAGTCACCCTAATAATGCCAGAAACGACCCTTGGTAGTATGTGGAGGAGATGGCTCCCGTACCGCGTACATTAGAGTCTCTGGGCCGCGATTCTGTAACTCGTTATCCAGTATCGTTATCGTTATATTGTCGTTGCGCAGCTTTTTTACTATATAGTATACCTGCGTAACTGTAGTTATGAGCCCTTGCACACAAATTGCCGTAGCAGTAACGTAAGTACAATTCTTACGTTACTGCTACGGCAATTTGTGTGCGGAGACCTTTAGTCTTACTGCTTAAGTTTTTCTAAAGTTCGTGTACCAAGTGCTTAAGTTTGTGTGCTAAGGCCTTAGGCCCGGTCTACAATAAGTCGTATGTCGGAGTCGGATGTCGCAACGTAGCCAATGGTCCAATGAGAGAATTTCTTTTTCGGAAACGAATTTTTCTCATTGGACCATCGGCTACGTTACGACATTCGACTCCGACATACGACTCATTGTAGACCGGACCTTAAGCCTGCGGGGTACGTGATAACGTGATAAAGGGAAATAACTCGAAGGCGAACTCGACAAACCTTGAAAGCCTTGTGTCCACAATACTAGAAATCGCTTTGAGACCTTGGACGGAGAAAAAATTGACCAATCATATTTAAACAATTCAGCAATTGACTAATGCAATTGGTTAATTCTTTTTCCGTCCAAGATCTCGAAGCGATTTCTAGCATCGTGGACACAAAGGTTTAGATTCGGGAACATTTAGAGCATGTTATTCCGTTTGCAGTCTGGCTTGCAACATGTGGAGGGTAGAGATCCTTAACCAGAGATCAGACAAACCGTTATCGATCTATGATTAGCTCCGTCGCTTGGGGCGTAACCGGAAGTGTGAGAGAGAAAGATATATATAGCTAACCCCAAGAAATCCTAGCCGACTTAGGGCTGGTTGTTCCAGCCCGTTGGTAAACTACCTAATAGTTAAATCATATGTATGTCTTTGTTTATCCTTTACATTGGACAAAGATAGACATGTGTGATTTAACTATCAGATAGCTTACCAATAGGTTGGAACAACCGGCCCTTAGCCATAAGTGTCCGTCGAGCTAGAGTTCGGAATACCCGGGTATCCGAGGATCCGCCTGCTCTCCCATTACCCGTTGTATACAGATCTGGACCGGTTCCGCGGCTACCCAGGGATAATTTGGGTTAGGTATCCATGCGATGCGGGTATCCGTACAATATAGGTACAGTTGATTATTCTTCTCACATTCGACTGTAAGTGTCTATCTACAATAGGTGTTTTAAGCCCTAAGCCTTAAGAAATTGTTCAATCACAAATTGAATTTGAGGAGAATAATTGACTGTGATTAGTCAATTTCTTAGGGCTTAGGGCTTAAAACACCCTTGTAGATGGTCATTAATTGGTCAATTTCTTACGACTTACGACTTACGACTTGCGACTTACGACGTTACGATTCGACCAATGTAGAACCGGCCCAAAGCCGTAGTCGTAGACATAACGCTTGCGCACAATGGAGCACATATGATCACTTATTGCTGCATAAAAGCTAACGGCATAGTATAAGTATACACAGTAGAGACACTGAACTTGTTTAGTGGTACTCAATTTTCAGTGCGCATCCATCGGTTTATCCTACCAGGAATATGGCAGCCTGTATGTAAGACAAGAAGAGAGATACTCTCTCTCGTTCTCTCTAAAGCGTTCATAAGCCCAGGAAGATGGCGGCGAGTCATGTGACCTGGGACCCATTACATCAAAGGTGCGGACTCAGTGTCACTACTGTATGTACTTATACTGTGCTAACGGCTTCTTCTTTTACTTCTTCTTTTCACGTTAACAGCAAAAGCTAACGGCTAAGGGCCAAAGCACATAACATGGCGTAGCGATATACGACAGTCGATATAGTCGTGGACGTAAGTAACGCACAAGGATTGACGTTAGCGTATGTCGTATCCGTCGCGTGATGCGACGCGATGGATACGCGTCGTCAATCCTTGTGCATTGATTTCCGATATCGACTTACGACTTACGATAAGTAAATGCCCATCTACAATAGGTGTTTTAAGCCCTAAGCCTTAAGAAATTGTTCAATCATAGTTGAATTTGAGGAAAATAATTGACTGTGATTGGTCAATTTTTTAGGGCTTAGGGCTTTAAAACACCTATTGTAGACCGGGACTAAACGGTTACGACAATCTTTGTGCTTTGGACCTAAAGGGTCTCGCACACAAAATTGCATAGGCTGCATATACATAGCATAAAGGCCGGTTTTCACATGCAATGATTGGTGGCGCCAGGCCGCGCCAGTCGACTAACGCCAGTAAAAATGCAAGTGTAAACACTTGATACAAACTGGCGCTAGTAATGTGGCGTTTACTGGCGGCTATTGGCCAAAGCATGTAACCTCAAATTCTGAGGTTATATGCTTGCTGTCATTTACTGTGTGTTTAATAAATGTTAAATATTTTTCATATTATACGCCAATTACTGTGTAAATACTTGTGAGTTTGCTAGTCGGTTCTGGCGCCAATGAATGCCAGTCAGTTGACGCCACTAATCATTGCGTGTGAAAACCGGGCTTAAGACCGCTAAACCAAGCGTCTGCGATACGCTTTGCGGTATTTTAGATCCATAGGACACTCGCTGTCGCGCGTTGTCGCACCTCGCCACGCGACAGCGCGCGGCAACCGCGCGGCAGAAACGCCTCGTGTGAACAGGCTCTAACGCTTCACGACTTTCACGTTTCTTGCCTATTCTCGCCTTCATGACGTGAAGTTCACGTGTCGCCTGCATGCCGCACCGCACGTGCGCAGAAATAAATCAATCCTCCGAATGTTTCCGAGTCTAGCCGAAGTTTGTCGAGTGTAGACGTAACTCTCCCGTCCCGCGTTATCGTACCCCATCCGCCCTTTGTCCATTTTTACATACGAGAAAGGATGCCATCTAGCGGCGACCCAGAAACACAGAATATGTTACGTAATACAGGAGGATATAACTCAAATATATTTTGCAATTAAGGGTCGGCAGGAGACACGGTGGAGACCTCTGTCGGGTTGGCTTAGCTGCGACTCGCTGCGAGTCCGTATTTTATTTATTATAAATTTTTAAGAGCCAAAATGCAAAATTGGGTTCTTTACCTCCCTGCATTATTATATAAAGAGTATATGAAAAAAAATTCACGAATCTATGTAACTTATTTTATGAGAAATATGGATATTACGAATCCGTAATTCGTAATATCGATATTTCTCATAAAATAAGTTACATAGATTAGTGATAGATTTTTATATAATAATGCAGGGAGGTAAAGAGCCCGATTTTGCATTTTGGCTCTTAAAAATTTATAATAAATAAAATGCGGAGTAAAGTGTAGTTTAACGTGCACTTAGTGCATAAAGTGCACCTGAGTGCATCTGAGTTTGCCTGGGTCTCCTGCCGACTCTTAATACGCAATCTTTTTCCAAATTTAATTTTGCAAATATTCTGTTAAAATAATTCGCCATAACGCTATTTTGCTGAAACACTATTTAGAAACAAATTGTGCAAATATTTATCAATATTTATCAATATTTTAAATTTTTATAAGTATTGCAAATATTGAGACATAAATGCAGCATTCCCAATTTCATCCAGAGATTTCATCGTATAATTTTATAAATCTTTTCCTATTAGGGAAGAGATCCCATAAGTTAAGTGTTTTAAATATATTCCGTATTAAACTCCAAATTAAATGGATACTGTACTTCTCCATTACATAGTCAAAACGTGTAATGCAAAATTGTGGTTTAATCCGGCACAAATACACGAGTATCAGTTCGGAGAGAACGAAATGGGATTGAATTTAATGCGCTACCTTAAATCCTTTATGAGAAGCTTCTACACGCCACGGGATCCAACTATGTCTCTCTCGTTTCCGTCAGTCTCTATCCTCGACATCCATTACATCGCTACCTAGTAAAGCTACATAATTTAAGAGAATATTTGAATAGCGTTTTACACTGCTTACAGCTTGTACTTGTGGAGAACTTTATTCCAGGACTTCTGCGGCTGATAAATAGGTACTAATGCTCTTATCGTTAATGATTTCGTGCCGTTGTGCCGGATTGTATTTGTGAAAATTTAATACCCGATGGTGTTGTTGTCCTCACTAGAAATTGAGAGAGTGGTCTTACCTCAATCTGATGAAATAATGATGCGAATAAAATTAATTTCATACTAGTGCAATCCGGGTGTGGAGATAGCGAAAGAATTTTAGCAAATGTTTCTTATTTTTGAAAATATTCTGTACGATTTTATGATAATCAATCAATAATAATAATATATTAAAGTTTTTTACATTAAAAATAAAAATTCTTGTATTTTTGTTTTCCATAATCAATGATGAGAAAGATAATTATGCCATATGTAATAAAAATAAATATAATATTATATTTCAGTAAATAAAAACTGTTCAATTATTTTTGAAGTTTCTAAGAATCAATTTATCATTATTTTTTATCGATATATATGAACATCGAGTGTTCTCTCGATATATCGCCTATTCGATATGACCGACCGAGTCAACTACGGACTACGCATATACATACCAGATGCGTCTCAGTCTCATGCGTCAGCATCGCCGCCATTTTGTGTAACAGCTGTAGTTCGGTGATCGCAGTCAAGTAAGGTCAGGTCGAGCTGGTCGAGTCCGTTGCAGTCCGTTGCGAGAGAATTACGAATTACTTGTGATTTGTGCGGTGACCAATTCGGGTTCCGTACGAGACAATGTTGTGCTATTGCGAAAACATGTAATCGCAAGCAGTGCGATCAGTGATCTTAAAGTAATATGAATACTAGTTTTACATAAACGTTCTGTTCAATGGTTCAATACACTCGCATTCAGGTACGACAATGTCGATGCTCTAAGATGAACATTATTATTTTATTTCAAATATATAAATTTGATTATGTTATGTATAACTCTTTTGTACATATTTCTTGATGAAAACATTTGTTTTCATCAAACATTTGTTCTTTCCAAGCACAAGACCTTGAAAGTTATATTGAATTTAACGCATTAATATATTTCTATAACATTCTATTTAATTATCATATAGATTTTATTGTAGTGTGCATTTATGTATTATTGTGTACTTAGATTGATTATGCGCTTCTATATTAGAAAGTCTGTTAATCTTTTTTGATGAAACATATACGTAATGCTAATGCATAATGTTTACATAGATAATGTGTTAACCTTTTTACCTTAAGTTATTTTTTTTCACAAATGCTTGAAAATATTGCTCTTGAATTATTTTAATATAATATAATCTATAATTTAATATGTTATAGAAGAAATAAGTGTGCTGGTGACATCTCGATATGGCTCGAGTTCAATTATATGAAAGAGCTGTGGTCATCCATACAGTAAGTAGATACTTATTTATAATTATATACGTAAGATTAACAAGAGAACTTTAGGTTATATATATAGGATTTAAGACTTCATTTATATTTTACATTTAGTTATTTGGTTAGGTATTTCTTGGTGTCAGTTATACATGCAAATGTTTTGGACTTATTTAATCTTTCTTTCGAAATTTAATTATGTATAAAATATATAAATCGAAAAAAGCCAGTTTGTTATATTATATTATGTTAATACTCATTTTAATGTCATGTTTTTAAGTAAGAAATTCTGTCTTACTATATTATTCAATGCAGATAAACATAAATTTAATTTTTATTACAAAATGTGGTACACATGACATATTTAACATGTTTCAAACTATAACCATACATATATAGTTTTTACTTTTTAAAGTTGTCTCTTATCCTTTGAACGTCATCTTGAACTATTTTACTTTATCTACGTTGTTGAAGTATTTTGCTACTTAAAGTCGTTTTATTAGTATTTTTATTATTATCAAGAGACATCGTGTCTCACGCCAAATATAGTGAAGCAGATTGTATGAGAGCACCTTAAGAATACTTTGAATTATATTGTAATCTTATTAGCTATCTATTCAAGTAACCCATTAAAGTGATCTGGCAATTGTGGTTGATAACATGACAGATAGTGTAGTTGCCAATTGTCCAAATGTAAAGCTAGATTTTAGACCACAAGGTTTTAATCAATACGTTATGTGAATAACATGATACAATATATGTATAATAATATGTACAACAGTGGCTGCATTCAGAAAAATACAATACATTAGATATACATTATCTGTGTGAATAATGTATAGATCTATTAATCAGATTGTTCTTCTATTTGATTATTCAGTTTGTTCAATTCCATTATCTCAATTCTTTATGCTAGGATTAGGTGCTTTTTCTTTAGCGACACAAGTCGACACAAGCTCCATTCTATCTTTTTTCAACATCTAAGCTGCGTTCTATTTATCGCTCACAATGCTCGCGAGCATCATTTCGCTCTTTGACAAACAACAAGGATGAAATGATTCCACGAGCGTTGCGAGCGATAAGTGGGACACACCCTAGTAAGAAAGATTGAGTGACGCTTGTGTCGACCTGTGTCGTTAACTGGAAAGCACCCATTTAGCTACAAAGTGATTTGCAATAGTCGGTATAGTAGGAAACGTGAAATAACTTGAGATTCCTACTTTACCATTGCAACATTGTAACTCATTCAAATGATAAGGAAGTTACAAGTTGAGAATGTAATAAAATGTAATGTTATAGTAATCTAATAATAACATAATAACATCGACCTATAGTATAAACTGTGCGATCTCTATTTTACTCGTATATGAATCCGGTCCTCAAATATGAGTGAGCAAATAGTCGCACATCATCTCTATCTCTATCTGTGCATCTGATTGGTCTAATTTTCAGTCACTCAGGAACGTAACTGCCAATGTTCGTTTTCTTCGCTGATTCTGCGACAAAAAATTTAAGAGAAAAAAAATGTTAAAAATTAAATAAAAACATACTTTTGCATTAAATAAACATGTTATTATTACTTATTTAATTTTCACTGAAAAACATGATTTGCACAAGGCTTTGCAAACAGATGTTATGGCTCTGACTAGAAAAAGACAGATATTGGTCGTAATCGCATACTGTTCTTCCTGCACATTGAGAAACATTTTCGATTTGCGTCGCGCTTCCATACTATAGGTCGATACATAATAATAATTTTATAATTACTACAATAAGAATAAATTTTATAATGAATAAATAGCATCCACTTACTTTCATCTTATTTACAACATAATAATTATTTTTATAGTTTATGAGAAACATCTAAATTTAAGCGCACGCACAATTTCCAAAATGGCGACAGGTCATATAATTTGAGATAATCTACATCAAAGATATTGACGCTCAGTGTCAGAACTATGCACAGACCAGGGCTTGGAATTAGGTGCCCTTTTCAGGCCGATTTCTGAAGGCGCCATTATGTAGCATCGAGCGCCATTATGTAGCATCGAGCGTTGAGCGTCAAGCGTCAAACACGCGCGCAGCACCCTTGCGCAGATGTCCAAACGTGCAGATTTCAGCGTCTTGATGCTGAAATCTGCGCGATTTGCATGTTTATACATCTACGCAAGGGTATTGACGCTTGACGCTCGACGCTCCCAAAGCACCTTGAGGCCGACGCCTATCCCCCCCATCGCTGGCTCAACGGCCGAGCCGCCGATCGCGCGTGTGACGCCGCCGTGCCTCAGGAACGTATCTATATGAGAAATAGGGATCGTACCATCTGCCAAATTGTCATAAAAATATTTTTTTTGCTAAATAGTTTTTATTTTCATAAAAAATTAAACTAAATTTTTTATTATTACTTATATATCACAAATATGATTATAATACATAATACATGTATAATAGATTACATGTATAGTAATACATGTAATCTATTATATATGTATTATGTATTATAATGTATTATAATAATATATTTGTGATATATAAATAATAATTACAGTTTTAACAATAGCTTTCTGCATCACCCGTGAGGTACTATTGTTGATGCTTTTTTAAGAATGGTTTCTCCAGTAGGCTTATTCCATCGAAAGATCCATTATTGTCTTCGCTGATACGAAAACTAATTTTTCGTTGTTAATACGAACTAGTTTAGGCTGTAGCTCCGAATGGGTCACTTCTCCGATTGGAATGAACCTTTGCAGGTGATATTGTCACGATACCTAGAGGTTATTTATCAAGGTCCTATCTTTGGGCTATCTATAATTTTCTAGATTCTGGCCTGACAATCGTAAACAAGGCGTGCGGCGTTCTACCTCAGGTATGGCGCATCTGTAACGTGTTCCGCATATAATTAAATACTTTTAATTTAATTTAATTTTTTTACTTTCAACGTTTCCCCTGCTTTTGGGGCGGAACTACTTTCATCGTTGTACGGTTCCACATGGGTTTGCATCACACGAAGCGAGGTTTACTCCGCACTTCCCTCTGCTTTTGGGGCAAAACTACTTCTATCGTTTTACGGTTCCACATAGGTTTGCAAGTTTCCACGCGAACCGAGGTCCACCTTCCCCTTGCTTTTGGAGCAAAACTACTTTTATCGTTGTACGGTTCCACATGGGTTTGCAAGTTTCCACGCGAAGCGAGATCCACTCCACACTCCCCTCTGCTTTTGAAGTGAAACTATTATCGTTGTATGGTTTCACATGGGTTTGCAAGTTTCCACGCGAAGCTAGGTTCACTCCACACTCCCCCCGCTTTTGGGGCAAAACTACTTCCATCGTTGTACGGTTCCACATGGGTTTACAAGTTTCCACACGAAGCAAGATCCATTCCACACTGTCCTCTGCTTTTAGAGCAAAACTATTTTCATCGTTATACAGTTCCACATGGGATTGCAAGTTTATACGCGAACCGAGGTCTACCTTTCCCCTGCTTTTGGAGCAAAACTACTTTCATTGTTGTACGGTTCCACATAGGTTTGCAAGTTTCCACGCGAAGCGAGATCCATTCCACACTGCCCTCTGCTTTTAGGGCAAAACTACTTTTATCATTGTACAGTTCCACATAGGTTTGCAAGTTTCCACTACCTCTGCTGCAGGGAGAGGGGCGTAGCCTCTTCTTTGTCTACGTGTGTACTGTCTATACACACATATTAGCTTCCTTTAGTACTTTAAAGACATAACACATAACTTTGATAATATATGTCAAGGTCAAGATCATTTAAGCTGTTAAGTCTTTTTTTGCTGATTTTTACTACTTTCAGTGATATTTTTGTTTATAGTTTTTAAACCATTCAAAACCTACGTATGGAACCTTGACATATGACCTTAATATGATCTCTTGAAGCCATCTCCAAAGGTTCATACAAATCGGAGGGGTAGTCCATTCCGATTGACCCTATCTAAGGCATATATGTAATACTCTTATATTGGTAGTATCGATTGAAACCATAGACCTAGGAAGAGATAGACGGAGCGTAAAGTGAGACTATGGGCAATAGGGGTCCAGAAATCGACGCGAGGGGAAAGAGACCATTCTGGACAAATTTCGGTCAGACTTAAAAACATTTGGACACTCGACAGCATACGGACAGCACACGACTGGTTGTCGCTTTGATGTGTGTTGCCAGTATGTGGAGGGGATACGCTACCAGACCAGTGCATGCTAGCGCATTCTCTCCACATCCTCGCAACACACACCAAAGCGACAACTACGTGTGTTGTTCGTATGCTGCCGAGCGTACGAATGTTTACTAGGTTAAACATTCGTTACCAAAGTTTGTCGAGATGGTCTCTATTTCCCCTCACCGCGCTTTTACCTACCCTGTAAGCTTACGCTCCGTACGAGGGGGCCCATGGACATTATACATTCTGTGATTCCCGGGGCCTCCTCACATAAGTGCCAAGAGGAACAGAAGGGGTTTTAGCCGGTAAGAGTCCGGCATAACCATTCGCCCCTCCCCGGGGGCGGGGGATTCTATGAGGATTTCTCCCCCGTTACCAAAAAAAGGCTTACGCTCCGTCTATCTCTTCCTAGGTCTATGATTGAAACCTGACAAAAACATTACGATGCAGACAGCTTCCTCCACCCCACAAATGTCGAACAAGGTGCGTTGCATTTGCAATTTTTATTAACTCGAATCTCTTTTAGGTTATGTTATAGTCACGTCGCACTTACGCAAAACAATCAAAGTCCGGTACGCTATCTCTCTCTCTCCCTCCCTCCCTCTCCCTCTCTCTCTCTTCCTTTCCCTCTCTCTCTCTCTCTCTCTCTCTCTCTCTCTCATTTGTGCAAAACAATCAAATCCTGGTATGTCATCTCTCTCTTTTGGCGCCCGATCCATTTTAGGCAAGATACGAAGCTAGAAATGTAGGAGTATATGTTTTAAGGCAGGTTTGATCAACTTCGAGCTTCAAAGTCACGACGTTTTCTTTTTCCATTCACAGAGAGTGGAGAAAAGGGGTTCCTTT